GTAGAGAATTTTCAGAATATATATACCAGAGAGGGCCAGGTGTCCAAGCGAAAGATACGCAAGTAGAAAAGGGGAAAAGATAAATGGTAGTTTTTATATTTCCATATTTTTATTCTGTGATAAAGAGAGTGTAAAATTAGAAAGAGCACAGGGTGTAATTTACAGAGAGTGTCGTATCGGTCGTCATTGCCGTCAAACGCCGAGAATACAAGCATGTCTTGTAGCGCCTTCATTTTCCATGCATGCAATTTGTATTACACCATGGGTCAAAATTCACACTACCCGATCTTGTGTGAACATTCCGATCATAATTATGTTAGGCTTCGATACTGGATGCAATATCTCCGTCTTATGATGCTCCAGAAAAACACACTTTTAGTAAAATTTAATAAATTTAGTGGTAGATGAAAAACCACCTTGCGGTTTGATTATAAAATTATGATATAATTTCGCGGCTCCAAAACCATGTTTTTAAGAGAGAAGACCAATAGAATTTGGTCGTCTAATTCTTTGCTTTTTTGCAGATTGTTCACGAAAATCAATTCCGGACCTAAATAAATACTTACTTACTAAACCAAATAAAAGCAATTTTACTCAAATTGAGTTCCTTCTTTGCAAATGAGGCACCAGGCAAGGTACGTAAGATTTTATTTAATTTATTCGAAGCTTTCGTTTTGGAAAACAAAGAAAGGAAGAGGAAACGCTAAAAATCATTCACTAGAGAAAGTCTATAAACTTTGTTTGTTTAATCAGGTTGGGTTTTCTTCCTGCCCTAGGTACCTGTGCAAGCCTGGTTGCCGGAAACTTAGAACAACTGCCTGGAAACTTAAAAGAACGTGTTAAAGATCACAGAATATACAGATTGTGCGTCGAAGAGTTAATTTCAGCCTTTTTTGAAGTGCCTATCGTAATTTTTGTGCCATTTCACTACTTGAAAATGTACGTACTCGGCGGTATGTCTTGAGAGCAACAAACTCCTTCAGTTCCATAAAGTGCGAATTGTTGCGCAACATACAGTGCCTTTAAATAGAGTGTATAGGGAGAAACTTCTCCTATTCAAGGGTTAATGACTTTCCGATCTATGATTTATTATGATTAATATCGATCAGCAAGTTGTTGCAGGTATGACCACTTTTAATGGAGCTCTAGGTGAGGCCAGGCCCGCCAAAAGGGGGGGGGGATACTGGGTCCCTGGTGCCGGGGCCCGTGTTACCCGTGAAAAACCACTACGAATTCACAAACAACCCTTGTTTCGTAAGAAAAAGTGAAAAATTTACCCTAAAAATTTCGAAAAAGGTGAATAGATTTTCAGAAACACGCTGGGGCATTGTAGAATTCTTCTTAAATTTTTAAAGAAGTATACTTCTTGGAAAATTTCTATCTATTTTCAAGATTTTCAGTACAGAAGGATATTTTTAGTAACTGCGTTTCATTTTCTTCCGTCGTCAGATGCTAAGAGTCTCCAGTCCGGGCATCCTCGACTTCAATGGCTCATGGCTCAACTCTCTTGCCATAGACAAACGGAGGGGGAGTCCAGGGGGGTCTGGACCTCATAGAACTAAAAATAGTATCATATGCCCCCCTCAAAAAAAAATAAAAATTTTCCAGATGTTTTGAATGCAACAATTCGCGAGTATTTTGTGCTGAACGTAAAAAAAAAAAAAAAAAAAAAAAAAAAAAAAATTATTCCGCAGAAATTGATGGAAAAATTCTTTAAGGAAGCTTCAAAATTCGTCCGATTAGTCGTATAAATTCTAAAATTTCTCGGGGGATGCCCCTCGGACCCCCCCCCCCTTTGTGCTTGGGGCCCGGACCTTAAAACTGGTACCAGGGCCCGAGATGGGATTTGGCGAGCCTGCATGAAGGCTATTTCCATTTAAATATTCCGTCACATTCATACGGCGCAATGATACGACTATTTGAACTCTCCGGACTGCGCGAGGGATCACGCCGCATTTGAGGGCGTTTTCAAAACAGCCACGTTCCGTTATCGGAATAATCGTTTTGCATAGTTCATATTCTTTTGTTATATTCCGTGCCACTTCTTTATTTTTAATCCTCGTAGAAAAACCACCCATTTGTAAATACAATTCTAGCTGAAGCGCACTTCAGCTATGCATTCACTACTGCAAAAATTTCAGAGGAAATCGACAAGCCCAGCGTGCATGGAGACTATCTCCATTTAAATCTCCCGTCGCATTTCTAAGGCGCAATGATACAACTATTTGAACTCGCCGGAATGCGTGCGGTATCACGCCGCATTTGAAGGCGTTTTCAAAACAGCCATGTTCCGTTATCGAAATAATCGTTTTGCATAGTTCATATTCTTTTGTTATATTCCACGCCACTTGTTTATATTTTTAATCCTCGTAGAAAAACCACCCATTTGCTAAATACAATTCTACCTGAAGCGTACTTCAGCTATGCATTCACCATTGAAAAAATGTCAAACGAAACCGAAAAGCCCAGTGTGCATGGAGGCTATCTCCACTTGAATCTTCCGTCACATTCTTACGGCATAATGATACAACTATTTGAACTCTCCGGAATGCGTGAGGTATCACGCCGCACTTAAAGGCGTTTTCAAACCAGCCAAGTTCCGTTATCGGAATAATCGTTTTGCATAGTTCATATTATTTTGTTTCCATTTCTAACCACTTGTTTAATGATAATCCTCCTATAAAAACCATCCATTTGCTAAATACAATTCTAGCTGAAGCGCACTTCAGCTATGCATTCACCAATGCAAAAATTTCAGAGGAAATCGACACGCCCAGCGTGCATGGAGGCTATTTTCATTTAAACCTTCCGTCACATTCTTACGGCGCAATGATACAACTATTTGAACTCTCCGGAATGCGTGAGGTATCACGCCGCATTTGAAGGCGTTTTCAAAACAGCCATGTTCCGTTATCGAAATAATTGTTTTGCATAGTTTTGAGATTACCTATTTTGAAGTTCGAATGTACCTTTTTTACCTATTCACCTTATTTTGAGGTGCAAGGCAGGATAAATAATGCTTTCAATATACTTCTTAACAATTGCTTTTATTTAATCAATTATTTCAGAACAAATCCAATTAAAAAATAGTCAACAGCAGATCGGGAAAAAATTATATTCTATATGATTAGCTTCAAATCACGCTACATTTTGGGGTATTAAAATAAATCAGTATGAAATCAACGAAATCGAGAAAAAGGTACAACAATGTCAACCTGATTCACTTCTCTTAACACATCAAATTCAAAACACAAAAACTACAATGCACAAAAAATGGAAATGGTGTTTCAATTAAAGTATATTATAATGATATTAAAATATGATTAACATTTGAATAAAAAATAT